CATTATGGCAGCTTGCAGAGTAGTCATGGGCTCGTGCTCTCCAGCTAGACTACCTCGGTTCACATCGTAGCTCCACTCTCACTGTCTGTGTGTGGCCTGGCAGATTACTTAACCTCTCTGTGCTCAGTGCCCTTATCTGTAAATGGAGATAGCAGTGGCACCTCATAGCATTGTCGCCACAACTAAATGACTAACATCAACTGCAGCTAGCACATAGGAAGTACATAGTCAATGTTAACTATTGTTATTGTTATACTACCAAGAGGTGATAGCGTATGTGGTCTCCAAGGTGGTACATTCATAAGGGATTTTCAAGGGAAACTTAGCTAATCCTTTTTCACCTTCAGTTGATACCTAGAAACCAACCCCAGCATGGAGTATGACTCTGCTGTACTGTACTTGTTTCTCTGCCTCTCCTGGTTTCTCATGGAGCTGGCAGTAAGTTGTGGCTCCTTGTGAAATGGTCATATGGCACAGAACATGGACATTTGAGGTAGGATGGCTTTTTGTGGACAAGATGTATTCCCACAGAGGCAATGTAGGTGTGCAGACACCCCGAAATATATATTTAAGTGCTCATTTTCAGCCACTAGCACTTCTCTATGTACAAAGTTCCACTGAGTCTGTTAAGGTCAGTGCAGCCCTTATGCGTCTCTCCTTGGCTTTTCACTAGAACATGACTGAAGCCTATCTTGTAGAATGGTATTTATGCTAACACTAGCCTTGTGGTGCTGCTTGTGGGTGCATTGTCATAGGGTACAGCTGTCTGGTGCTTTATTACTATTCTTCCCCGAGCCCACAGATTTTCAGCGCACCACTGACTGTTTCGCTGAAGAATTTTGAAGAACTTACAGGTGGCTGTTTGCCATCCCCTCCTTGCCCCCCTTCCACACACAGACTCTCATATTTACCTTCTGGGACTATAAGAACTGAGATCCTATTACTGTCCTCACCTCGTCCCATGCACCTGTGTTCTCCTAGAGAAGCTGTTGTTTTCACTGTCACTGCCCACGACTGAGGCGCACGCAGCTGTTGGCCACTAAGCTGTCCTTAGCGACTCCACTGCCAGGATGTCAGGACCCAACCCAGGCCCCTGCCGCACGGCCCCTGCTTCCTCCAGGGGCTTACTGGTGTCAACTAAGTTTCTGTGTGCTTCTCTCTGCTTTCCTTTTCCCCATCTTTCCCATCTTCTGTGGCTTCTTGGCTTTTGCTCATAAAAAACTGGTCACTTATAGACCTTGAGCTCCATTTTTCTGCCCAAATAGGTTTTATCATCGAACTTTTCTTGGCCATGTTGTTTGAGGCTCGGCATCTGAGCCTGGTTAGGGCATCTTCCCCCCAAAAGAGGGGTTTGCGCTGTGAGGCAGGGCACAGAATTAGAAGGATTCAGCTCTCACCAGACTTAGCTCCTGGGAGATTGGTCTTTGAATAGAACAAGTTGTGGTCTGTCTCATGTCCATGCCTAGAGCCAGGGAAATTAAGTGTAATGAGTTCTGTTTTAAGGGGATTTGTGTGTCGTGCATCTGAAACAGCTTGGGAACATGCAAACATTTAATATTTCACAGTAGTGTGTAAAATTATAGCATACGTGTGTGTTGCAAATTGATGAAACTTGAAAAACAAACAAACTATGAAGCTATCCAGATGGCTCATTAGGTTGTATCTTTCAAGTTATAGATATCCTGAAATGTTAACACCGTTTCATTCTTTGTGTTTTTTTCCCTTTCTTCCTAGAATATTTTCCTTCTTGGATATAGTAACTTTGTGCCGATGTGCCCAGATTTCCAAGGTAAGGTATCAACCAGATTTTTCATCAGTAACTCTCAAGCTTTATTAGAATGTGGATGAGTTTCAGTTCAAGTAAATAGTTAAAAATTAAAATGTCATCTTTTATATTTAATGTAACACACTCTTGTCATAATTCCATATTTGATGATAAACTTAATGTATATCAAGAATACAAGCTTGAAAATACAAAGGTTGAGTCAAGACTTTCTTTAATGGTCTCAATAAATGTATCTTTTCCACCCCAATCCCTCCTCCTCTACTTCCACCTCCCAGGCTTGGAACATCTTAGCCCTGGATGGAAGCAACTGGCAAAGAATAGACCTTTTTAACTTTCAAACAGATGTAGAGGTAAGTTAACCGTGTTTTAGACAAAAGACTTTTTAAGAAGATAAGTGAACTGCTCCTTTTTCCCTGCATGTTTCTTGTGTTGCATTTAGATTTAATACTAAAGTGGCAAGAGGTAGAATAGAGGGTGGGGGTAAGGGTGAGAGATCAACCAAAGGAGTTGTATGCATGCATATAA